AGGGTGAGGTGACCTTCCGTGGACCTTCACGCTGCCTCTCAGTCCTCAGCTACAGAAAGATTTTGAGACGCCTTCCTGAACACCTAGCGAGCATAACACCCTCCCCAACGGTGGGCGTGTCTCGGGTGCTCCCCCAGCTGCTCATCGTGTCACTCACGCTGTGCCCCTGTGGCTGCGACTCTGAAGCCTGCCCCTCACTCCCTAGGACACCTCGGACCGGACACACGTTGCGTGAGCCCCCCGTGAGCAGCAAGGGTGTGATGGTGAGCGATGTTAGGCGCACCTGGACTGGGGCGTCCCAAGCCTGGAGGTCTGAGCCCCTCGAGGCTTCTCCAAGGGCGCCGGGTCTGAGTCACGTCTGCAATTCCAGCCCTTGGCGCGAGGCCAGGCCCGGGAGCTTGGTAAGTGCTTTGGGAATGGCCAAATGAACATTTCTGCCAGGAGGCAGCCACGGCCAGCGTCGGAGCAGCCGCGGGCAGGCCTGGAAGCTCCTTTCCGAGAAGCAAGTTGCAATTTGTTGCCAAGAACCCACAGGGTTGGCTGCGCCCACCCAGCTCCCCTCCCACCTGCTCCCCCAGCCCCGCGCAGCCAGATCGCTGGAGCCGTCTCCTCAGCCAGCTCCATGGTGTTCAGACCCGGAAGTGGGCTCGAGACCTCTTTTGACAATGCCCTTGTCGACAAATGGGTAAACTGAGTCCCGGGGAGGTGAAACAGCGGGGATGGCTGCCTCAGGCCTGTGCGCTGTGGATGCACCACTGTTTCCAAAAGCCAGCCCTGTTCTGCTGCCTGCCACGTCCAGCAGCACTGTTTCCCCAACATATATATTTTTTCAGTGTTAAAACTTCCGTACTACACCAAAAGCACAAGCAACAACAATAGCTAAATAAGTCTGACATCCTAAAAATTCCAAGCTTATACTTCAAAGGACACCATATTTGGGATAAGTCTTGCATTCAGAATATATAAAGGACTGTTTCAACTCAATAACCAAAAGACAAATAACCCAGCTAAAAAATGGAAAAGCTATGATTAGACATTTCTCCCAAGAAGACATACAAATGGCAACATGTACGTGGAAAGATGCAATCATTAGTCACTAGGGGCCGGCAAGACAAAACCACCAGGAGAGACCACTGCACACCCTTCAGGACGGCTGTAATTACAAAGACAGGTCACAGCACGTGTTAGCAAAGGTATGGAGAAATTGCAACCCTCATACGTTACCGGTAGGATTATAAAACGGCGCAGCCACTGCAGAAAACAGACCACCAGTCCCTCCAACAGTTAAACACAGCTATCACATGATCCAGCAGCCAAGAGACCCAAAAACATATGTCCACACAAACATCTGTACAGACACCCACAAAGCCACGTTATTCATAATAGTCAAAAAGCCGGAGCGATACAAATGCCCATCAAGAAATGAAAGGATGAACACGTGCGGTCTATCCACACAATGGAATATTATTCGGCAGTAAAAGGGGTGCCGTACTGACACATGCTACAACACAGGTGAGCCTGGAAAACACCATGTTAAGTGAAATCAGCCAGGCACAAAGGACTGTATATCACATGACCCCGTCTCTATGAAAATCCAGAGTAAGTAAATTATTATTAAAGAGCAACAGAAAGTAGACTAGTGGCCGTCTGGGGCCCCAGAGGGGCTGCGGGGGGGGGGGGGGGGCGGGGGCGTTTGAGCAGTGATGGCCAAATGGCCAGGGTTTCTTTCTGGAGTGAGGAAAGCAGACTGGCATTGGCCGTGGTGCGGGCCGTGCAGCTCTGGGAGTGTGCTGGAAGCTGTCGAACTGCAGACTTTCAGTGGGTGAACCGCATGGTATGTGGATTGTATCTCAATAAAGCTGTTTTTAAAATAAAAGTAAACACTTACTTTAACTCTAAAGCAAGAACATCTAGGAGCTCATGGGCTAATGTGCTCGTTATAAATGTTTATCTATGTCTATTAAAAATATATAACCTGGCCAGGCATGGGGGCACAGGCCTGCGGAGGGAGGGTCGCTTGAGCCCAGGAGTTGGAGGCTGCAGTGAGCTGCGATCACACCACTGCAGTCCAGCCTGGCAACAGAGTGAGACCCTGTCTCAAAAAATATTTTTTTAAATAAAATAAAAATATATAACCGCTAAAACTTTAAATGGTCGCCCTCATGCCACATACGTGACACTCTGCGGGACCCCCGGGTCTGGCCCCTCCTTCAGACTCTCCAGTTACAATCCTTTAAGATCCCAGAGGAAAAACAGTGTACGCATCTCATTATTTCATAATAGTGTATTAAGAACTTGCAAAGCTATTATGAGCTCATAGAAGACAGTCCTTTCTTAAAGAGAACTATTAATCATGGAATTTAATTTCTTAATGCCATGGTCATAAACCACAGCTGCTTCTGTATTGAAACCACAGCCACTGGGGAGCAAGAAACTCGAGGCCCCCAGGCCCTGGCCCGGCCCGAAGGTCACCGGGTGTGAATAGCTGCAGCAACAGGACCACAATCCACCACAGGCCACGGTCGGCGGAGGAGGGTCTGGGTGCCACAAAATGCTCAGTCTGGGCGGGCCAGTGTCGGTGGTTTGTAAAATGCCCATCCTCCAGCCCACGGTGTGGAGACCCCGCTTCTGCCCCCACCTCCCCTGTGCGCCCTGCGGGAAGGAGGGGCCAGGCTGGCCTCTGGACGCCCATGGCCTTGCTCTGCCTCTGACCAGCCTTGAACACCTCCTTTCCCTTCCAAGTCTCAGTTTCCCCAACAGCTGCAGGACTCTCAACCCTGTTCCCACAGCCACAGTCTGACCCAGCCTCAACCTCCCCACTCAGCCCACGCCTCACACGGGCCTCCGAGAGCGCTGGCACAGCCCCGCCCCAGACTGCCCGTGGCCCCAGACTGCCCGTGGCCCCAGACTGCCCGTGGCCCCATACTTGAGACCAGCTGTGGGGCTGAGGGAGCTCTCCCGGGGGCTCTGGAGAACTCGGCCCCTCCTGTGGCCACGGTGGGGAGGCCAGGAAGTCTGGGCCGGGCCTTAGGCTCCGCCCTTCACAGCATCAGGTGAGGGTGCGGCGACAGAGCACAGAGGTTCAAGTGCTGCGCCCTCAGCACAGAGCCCGGCCCAGAGCGCAGCTCACGTGACGCCATCGTCGCTGCTGCTGCTGCTGCTGCTGCTGCTGCTAACCGCAGCTGGACGTCCTAACTTCCCAAAGGTGAGAAGCGGAGCCTTGGGGATTCTCACAGGGAACCCAACAGGAGCAAAACCAGAATTGGAACCCAGCCCACCCTGTTCCCCACCGGGTGGGCGCCCTGAGACCCCATGACGCATGGTCCTGTCCCTTGGGGTGGCAGGGCCACCCTTCCAGCCAGGAGCAACTTCCCCAAGCAGCTCCAAATATACCTGACTTTGGAAGACGCATCTGCCAGACGAGAGGCATAAAAGCGTCTCTTGAAGTCTAGCCTGTGCCTTTGACGCACGGCTGAAGGGGACATGGAGACACTGTCACTTAGGCCAACGTCCGGATTCCTGCGGTTGCCCTGGACAGGCCTGGCCACCAGCAGCCTGTCCTGCCTGCCCTGAGCTCCACACACCACGTCCTCATAATGAGGTTTCTTAAAATAGCTCAGGAGTGTGAGCTGCCGTCTCTCTCTCTGACCCTCCTCACCCAGGCTCAGAGCCACAGGGCTCGTGCACAAGGCCGGCTGTCCTCATGGTTACATGGCCAGCGTCCAGCTGTCCACCACCCCACCCCAGGCCAAGCCCACTGTGCCCCTCCCAGGCCAGACACGCTTAAAGAGGGGATGAATTTCAGTTCCTCACACGGAAACAGGAAAGGAAGCATCCACAACCTCACGCCCAACATAGATAGGCCAAGCCCACCGCCACCCTCGGCCAACAGCTCTGGGCCTCTGCACACTCCTGGCGCCTCCTCAGACCTGCAGGGACGGGCAACACGCTCAGCCTGGGGCAGGGCATCTTCCCAGAGAAGTGAGAGCCCGGAAACAAAGCCCAGCTGCAAACACACGCCGTCAGCCACAACTCTCTATTTTGTTTGACCGGCAAAGTATTCATTTTAAATGCTTCTGAATTAGTTACCACCATTTTTTAAATTTGAAGATTAAACAGGCGAAAAAGAAAATCCATGTTTCCAGCTTATCTTGAAAATTAGGAAAATCAGGCCACATGGCCAAGATGTGGTGAACCAAGAGACAGCTGGCACCGAGGGTCCCACACCCTGCAGCTTGCTGCAGGCCCCCCCGGCCAAGCCCCTCTCCTGACGACTGGCCTGTCCTTGCAGGTGGTTGGGTTTGCAATGACTCTCTCGCCAGCACAAAGTGGCCTTGCCTGGGGCTGGCAGAGATGGCAGAACAGCCTTGGACCCCAGGGTACCCGAGCCCACGTCACACACCGCAGACCCTGAGTCTCCCAGGTGGCTTTCAAATTCCCCTCCAGCAAACTTTCACGTGTCACACAAAACTATGATTTTGGTGACATAGTTTCTGTTTTATCCAGAGCATGGCAAACTGGCCTATGGCCAAACGCAGCCTGTCATCTAGTCCCACGAATAATCTAGTCCCACAAATAAGCCGTGTTGGAATAGCCCCCCTCAATCGCTTCATACTGTCTGGCTGCTGTGGGGCCAGGACGGCCCCCTGGACAGTTGAGAGAGACCATGTGGCCTCAAAGCCTGGGACAGCTACCGTCCAGCCCCTCATCGGTACCGAGGGCAGGCCCTAGGGTGCACGGGAAAGGTGCAAAGCTCATCCCTTTCAGAGAGGCATCCTTTGGTGTCTGTATTCCAGGTTCTTTTTGTAAAATGCAAATGTTTATGCTCGACCCAGCAGTGGGTTTCCAATCCCATAACTGAGGGTGGGAGGGTGTCATGGAGGAGGAGAGGCAGTGGGGACTCGAGTCACTTGCCCAACAGGCACTCGGCGCCTGCGCACTTCCCGCCCCTGCACTGCCGGCCCCACCCTACGCCCCGTCCCACCGCCCTGGGCACTTACTTCATGGGCTTGAACAGCGCTTGTCCGTGGTTCCGGAACGTCATGATCAGCTTCAGCTGGGTGCCGCCCGACTTCATGGCTGCAGGGAGAGAGGGAGAAAAGGTCACGCGCTGCCCGCTGACCCTGCTGGCCCAGGCCAGGCCAGCTTCTCTGGCTGGGGCTCCAGGGCCCCCGTTCCACCTGGGAAGTTTAAGGCTTTCTGCAATGACCCTCCTGCCCTGGCTGGTGCAAACTCCCCCACACATTTAGGGGCCCAAGCTGGTGTGTCTCCTATGGTTAGACCCCAGACCAGAAGGTCTGGCTTCTAGAAGGGGAGACAGGTGTATTTACCTGCCAGCAAGACCTGCCCCTACACACCCCAACACACCTACACACACGCACCTGCACACACCTACCCACCTGAACACCCTGACAAACCTACACACACCCAGGAAGGGCCTGGGTGTGCCACCAATCATTCTCGAGGATGCCTGATTCGCCAAGAATTCTCTAACCTCAGTTTCCTCCTCTGTTAAATGGGGCTCAGGACACCTGCACGACCTCCCTCATGGGGCCGTGGTGGGGCCAACATCAAAGTGGAGCATGCATCATGAGGCCCGTCAGCACCTCTGACAGCCGGCCTGCAGGGTGGGATGGTGACCGAGCTCCATCCCAGGACCTCTGGGAGGGCTAAATGAGCACCTAGACCAGCTGCCACACGGTGGGAAGTCCCTCAACATTCCCAGCGGCTCTCGCTGCCCCTGAGTGCACAGCCCAGGCATCGGCCTGGCCACTGCTCGTTCCCTTCCAGCCAGTGTCTGCTCTGGCCGCTGTCCCAAGCTCGCTGCACTGTGCTTGACAGTGCCGCCCCCAGTGCCCAGGAGACTTGGGTTGGACGCAGGGCCCCAGAGCACTGTGTGGCCAGGTCTCTTGGCGACACTCTCTAAGGCCGTGCCTTCCTCAGGAGGAGGAGGCCGGCACACAAAGCTCACCCCACCGCATGCCGGAAATACCCTGAGTGCCCAGCCCTGGGGGCAGGCAATCGACTCCCGTGACCCTGCGTGGAGGAAGGCTGCCCCCCTTCCCAACCAGCGCCGGGCATTCTGAAGGACTCGGCAAGCTGCTTATGATTTTATCATTGAGCCAGCCAGCCCATGGATCATTTACACTCTATGAGCCATTCCCTTCTGGAAAACACGGATACAAGTGCACGGGCTTCCAAAATTGGGATGTGTGAACAGGCCCCTGAGGCCCAGTGGCTACCTCTCGAGAGCGGAGCTTCAGAAGATTTTAATTTTCTGTTTTTTCCGTAACTATGCTTTCTAAATTTCTACAATGAACACACACTATATTTTTAGTAAGATTTTAAAAAGTGACGATTAAAAAAAATCTGTGGCCCGATTAAGCCCCATTTGATGTCCCCTACCATTTAATAAGTGGGGTCACTGGAGTCGACTGTTCTTCCTGGGACAGCTGGGGACGGCACATCAGCTCCTTCCTGGCTCGTAACCCCGCTTTGCAAAATAACAAAGTATTGTGCAAATGTGGTCGGTGTGGTCATTCTTGCTCTGGAAGCGAGTCCTGTCTGCACTGCCCTCCCCCGCCACCGGAGCTGTGGCACTGCCAGCCTCTCACCACGGGACAAACACACGCCTAGAAATTAGCGGGCACCAGAATCTCGCAGTGACTAGGGACTCGCCACACTTCCTGCCTGGGCCCACCACTTAGTCGGTCTACTGCCAAAAGACATTCGGAGTTCTCTAAAATCAGGCCTGGTCTCCCTGCAAAAGCCAACGTCCGAGCTGCCTGGAGGCGTGGCACAGGCCCACGGTGTTCCTCGGGGTGGGCAGGAGACGCAGCTGCCCCCAGCCTGTGCGCCAAGCGGATAGTCCCCCCTCCGCCACTGCAGAAGGGGGCCCGGGCAGGTGGCAGAGCCGGGACACAGACCAGGCCTCAAGGATGAGGGCACAATTTGGAGTTTTCTTCTTAAAGATAAGACCAAAGGTCATGACTGGAGGGAATCTTGCCTGTCTCGTGGGAGAAGCCCAGGCGTGGCGGCAATGGCCCCAGCTGGTGGGGACACCTTCCCTGTGGGCCTCTGCTCTTCCCAGCGGACAGGGGTCAGTCAAAGCCTGGCGGCCCCAGCCTGGGAGGGACCCACCTCAGGGGCAATCCCACCAAGGCCTGGGTGGGATGCCAGGCTGGGGCAGGGGTGGTCCTGATGCCCCCAAAGTCACGAGGCTCTGTGAACGAGCCCCTCAGGGAAGTGGCTGCTGGATTTCCCTCTCCCTGCTCCCCATGGCCCCAGCTGCCTCGGCAGCCACCACCAAGTCTGGGTCACCACCAAACCTCCAGGCCTGGCTCCCCGGTCCAACCCCACCCACAGCCACACCTGCGCTCCATGCCCGTGGGGAGGGGCCCACAGCCTTTCCTACGCTCTTCCCCCTCCCTGGCCACCTGCCATCTGTAGGCCAAACACAGCAGCTCTGCGTCTTCCCTGGCACCCTGTCCCCAGACAGACGTGAGCAGACACGACTAAGGAACACTAATCATCAGCAACGTGCAGCACTCGCCACACGTGTGGACGCACAGTAACAGAGCGTCCCGTGCTTTTGCTCCAACCTGGACGCCAGCGGGCTCTGCTCTTTCCCTGGAGTGCGGCACAGCACGGAGGACATTCTCACACACAGTCGCCCCCCCCCCCCGGGCATGGTGACATTTCTCATGAATATAAACTTCATGCATAAAAGAGTAAGATTGTTATTATAGAAATGTTGATGGGCTTGGGTGCCTGGCCCCAATCCGTGTGAGCCTGGCCGGTCACCGGACCCCCAGGCAGCTCTGCAACCCACCGGGAGTTCCCCAAAGGAAGGACCAAGAGCAGCCCTGGGAGGAGAGAGACAGCCCTGAAGGAAAAGGTGTGTGGCCCGGAGCTGGGGGATGGAGGGTGACCAGGTCCTGGGACATTGGGCACAGCCACCACTCAACCTTGGTTCCAGTGGGAGCCACCACCAACTGTCTCCGCATTTCCAACAAGAACCCACCTATATTGGGATGAGCCATCCCCTGACTTTTAAATTAAAGAACCCCATATTTAAAGGCCTGTGGACCACACAAACGTGTCCCAGGTGAGACACTGCCCAGGGGTCAGTGGGGGCCTCCAACATTGCTGCTGTTGGCCTTGGTCATCTGATCTGTGAAGCTAACCGGTGACTGTCCTTGGGGGTCACAGTCAGGTGGTCCAACTTTTTCACAGCCACTGTCTTAGGGTCACGGGGAAGCATCATTATTCCAGGAGATTGACTGGGCCCCGTCTCTGCTGGAAGCAAGGGCCTTGCCCAAGGATGGCTCCAATTTGGAGAATGATGACCCACGGCTGCTGTCTCTGCTCAACCCGGAGGAGGCAGGTGCTGGGGGGCTCCGCTGATGGAGGATGGGGGCCCAGCTGTCTGCTGCTTTCTCTGCGCAACACCTGAAATCGCCGTTTCCGGTGGGGGGTCACTCTCCTCTGGGCACAACCAAAGCTCCTCAGCACCAGGGCTTTGGGCACCCACTAATGGGGCATCTTCAGTTTTTGCTCTCCAGGTTGGGGGACCCAGGCCCTGGGACTGTGGCCAGCGGTGGCAGCGGGTAGGGGACCATGCCCTCTCTGGGCTGGAACTGCCTTCCCAGAAGTTCCGCCTCTGACTAATTAGACTGGAAGCTCCCCCAGGTACCCACAAACAGCTGCCCCCACTGAAGGCCTTTGTTCCTCGAAGCCCGGCCGGCCAATTAGTCGCAGATTCTAGCTGGACTCATTCTTCCCCATTTGGCAGATCAATTAGTGTCAGGGACTTCTATCCCGTGGAGTCGCTTCCCTTTGTTCAGCTACGTTCTCCCAACCTCGGCTTTGTCCGCTCCGGGTGGAGCAGTCGTGAAGCCTGTGTTTCAGGCCAGAGGCTGCCCAAATCCTCACACGCCTGCATGAGTTGTTTTTTGTTTTTTTTTTAAGTAATTCCAAGTAGAGAGTCGTTAATTGTGTCATTTATTCTTTGCATCCATAATCGTGCATGATAGCGATTTAATTATCACCGGCCCAGCCGAAGGCACTACACGCCTGATTCCAAGCTGAACAGAGGTAGATACTGTCGTGAGCCTCTTCAAAGGCGGCAACGCCAGTTACCAGGCAGCCAGGAGCCAGCTATAAATAAATCTCTGCTGGCCGTAACCGCCGTGCTGCGGACCACACAGAGCTCCGTGAATTGGATCAAGTGATTCTGAACAGGGGAGATTTAATGGAACCATTCTGAGAAGGCTCTGGAAACTCACAGGCATCACTTTCCATCACAACAATATTTCCGAGTGCACATTTAATAGTGAGATGAATAATTGAAGATTAAAGTGACCACCCGGGGGCTAGATGGCCATGAGGACGAATCCCAGAGCCAAGAGCAGGAGGTGCTAACCTTGGGCAAGTCTCTCTTGGAGGCCGGGTTGCCCCAGTTGTGGAATAGTGGCTGGAAGGCAGGGCTGGCCTTCGAGGGCTCCACCTGTTCTGGGTCATAGCAGTGCCGGAGTCTCCAGGCAGCAGGCCGCTCCTGCCCAGGGGAACCAGCTCCACGCCTGCCTGGCAGCTCAGCCAAGCCTGGGGCCCAGCCAGGGGCTGCTTTTGCAAGCAGCCGGGTTTTCACCAAAACCTGCAGCTGGACGTCCACACTCAGAAGGACCCTCAGAGGTCCGCTGGGCAGCAGCCAATGGGAGCAACCCCTCTAGGAGAGCCTGTGTCCCCTGGGGACGCCACTGCCGCAGACCAGGAGACCTGGGCCTCGACATGGCAGCAGCTCCGGTCCCACTCTGCTCTCAGGTGAGGGTTTCCTGCTTTCTCAGGAGACAGGCCTCTGCACAAGTACGAACTCACCTGTGGGGGTCCCCAGGCCCAAGGCACAGGGAAAGGAGGGCCCAGCGTCCAGGCTGAGACCCTGACAAGGAAACAGGCGTCCACCCAGCCCTGCTTTCCCTGGGAGAGGAGCCCAAGAACACCGCTCCCATTGGACCTGCCTGGCAGGTGGCCGCCAGGCTCTGCTGTCCCCTCCTTACTCAGTTGCTCGTTTCAGCCTCTCAAAGACCCATGAAGCAGTTATCACAGGTCCATGGTTTTATTTTTCAAAATCTTTGGAGGCAGAAGGATTTGGGAGATTACAAACGCTCCAGATGATGCAAAGCACCTGTGGTGTGTGCCTGCTGCAGACCACGCAGCGCCCCAAGGAGCCTGGGCGGAACCCCATAATCAAACACACGCCTCTTCCTCAGAGGAACGTGTGAGATTCACTCTAGGAGTGAAAAAATACGGATTTATAACAAGCCTGGACAAATGAGGTTTTGCCTCCAAATAAGTTCAGGTTGAGTCAGGTTTTGCTGTCAAATGGGTTTCGTTGGGATTTCAGATTTGCAAGTCAGAGGTTACAGGGTCTAGAGGACAACCACCCTCATGTTCCAGGTGAGAAGCCAGAGGCACTAGAGGGTTAATCGATTTTCCCAAAGTTGCTCTGGCCGGTGACTGGTGCAACCGGGCTGCACATCAGACCCTCTGGTGCAGATCCTGCCACCCTGCCTTCCCACACTGCTGGGCACCTGCAGAATGACAGAACAATCAGCCAGTCCTCAGACGGGCCCCACCCCAGGGAGACTGGATGAGAACCAACTTGGCCAGCATGGTCTAGGAGATCAAAGGCGAGCAGCTTGGGCGGCCCCTCTGTAAGCAGACAGGCACAGGATGTAACCAGGGCACACTGCCAGGCCCAGGCCACGCCAGCGCCCCGGGGCTGGGATTCCCTGGCAAAGGGCTCTGTCCACCGTGCTTCAAAGTCAGGCAGCCTGGGCATCATTGCCCTGGATAGTTGGATAAAACGGGTAGGGGTGCCCCAAGGCCAGCACATGGGGACAGACAAAGGACCCCCAAGGTGGGCAAAGCTGTTCAGAGGCCCAGGAAGCTCTGCCCTCTCCCTGCACTGCTCTCTAGCTCCTGGGCACAGAATCCCCACACCCCTGCACAGAGCAGTTGCCCAGTGTGTGTTGGGAGGCTGAGGGTCCCCGAGGGATACAGGGCATTGCAGTGCCCCCCAAGGGCCTGGAGTCCATGAAGCCCCCTCTATGCAGACCCTGCCCTCATGCACGAGGGTGGTGGTGGAAGCCCAGAGCACAGGCACTCGTGGATGTTTTACAAGCTTGCTCACGTGCACCACCTCACCCCATCCTTTCCATGCCCCCACACAGCAGGACCCCATCTGGCGGATGGGGAAGCTGAGCTGGAAAGAAGCGCTGTAGCATGAGCACAGCACTTCCCCAAAGCCCTTTCCACCTTCGCGGTGCTGCTCTCATCCCCACCCTCCTGTGACAGGTGCCTTTCCTTTTGCTGGGGAGGCTTCCTCACCCGCACCCAGTGGAGCCCTCTCCTCTCCAAAGCACCTGGCACCTCAGTGTCTTCCTATGACTGTCAGGTCCACAGAGGCAGCAGACTGTGTTGAGGCTGGATCCACCCTCAACTCCCCACTACCCAGAAGGGACCAGAAATGCAGAGGGTGCCCAGTAAAATGTGCTGGAGGGACAGGCAAGCAGGTCAATGTAGCAGATATTCCCTTATTGTCCACGCCGACTCTCAGAGCAGAAGAGGCACTTGGCTGTGGCTCTGTGAGACTGTCCCCAGTGCACCCCCCAGCACAGCCCCAATGCACCCCCCAGCATAGTGCCCAATGCACCCCCCAACACAGCCCCCAACACAGCACCCAATGCACCCCCCAATACAGCCCCCAGCACAGCGCCCAATGCACCCCCCAACACAGCCCCCAGCACAGCCCCCAGCACAGTGCCCAATGCACCCCCCAGCACAGCCCCAATGCACCCCCCAGCACAGCCCCCAACACAGCGCCAACACACCCCCAGCACAGTGCCCAATGCACCCCCATACAGCCCCCAGCACAGCACCAAGCACCCCCAACACAGCCCAGCACAGGCCCAGCACAGTGCCCAATGCACCCCCAAGCACAGCTCAATGCACCCCCCAGTACAGCCTCCAACACAGCGGCCCAATGCACCCCCAACACAGCCCAGCACACCCCCAACACAGCCCCAATGCACCCCCAGCCACAGCCCCCAACACAACGTCAATGGACCCCCATCACAGCCCCCCATACAGCCCCGCACCCCCCAGCACAGCCCCAATGCACCCCCCAGCACAGCTCCCAATACAGCCCAATGCACCCCCAGCACAGCGCACAATGCAAACCCCAGCACCCCACAGCACAGCTCCACACATGCCCAATGCACCCCAACACAGCCCCAGCATAGCTCCCAGCACCCCCCAGCACAGCGCCCAATGCACCACCCAGCACAGCACCCGGCACAGCCCCCAGCACCCCACAGCACAGCCCCCAACACAGCGCCCAATGCACCCCCCAACACAGCGCCCAATGCACCCCCCAACACAGCGCCCAACACAGCCCCCAGCAGAGCCCCCAGCACACCCCAGCACACCCCAGCACAGCCCTCAACACACCCCCAGCACAGCCCCCAACACAGCCCCGAACACAGCCCCCAGCACAGCCCCAACACACCCCCAGCACAGTGCCCAGTGCACCCCCCAGTACGGCCCAAAGCCCTCTGGAGACCGGCAAGGGGCAGCAGGGAGGCAGAGCCTCTCATGGGGAAGCCTGGGCTGGGGGAGATGTTCAGATTCCTCCTGCGCAGCAAGTAGGGAGGGAGGAAGACCACCGCCTTGTCCCTGCCAGCCCTCTTCCAGTAGGGCACACTGATCATGAGATAGCCAGGAAGCTGCAGGTTCCTACTGTCTCCCCACAGCAAGGTGAGTGCCCAGCAAGCAGCTCAGCACCAGGCAGGAGAGCCAAAAATAACCTCTGAAGAAGAATTTGGGAAAACCCACTTGCCAGCCAGATAGGTAACACCTAACTCTCCCGTGTCAGCAACTGCATGGAACCCCAGGTTACAGGACCTTTCAGTGCCAGAATCGCTTTCAAGACACACATGAAGATAGTGCCTGCCCTCCGGTTCCTACTGGCCCCCTCCATCCACCCACAGCCGTGTGCATGCAGGGCAGCTCCCTGCAAAGCCTGGGGGAGCAGTTCTTCCCACCAAAAGGCCTCAGCCCATCCCCCACTACCTCTCCAAGCCACTGGTGACTAATGGGGACCTTCACAATCGCCTACAAGCTCAAGAACAATGGCACCAAACTCCTTGCTCAGAAACTGCTGCTGATACATTTTCCTGAAATCAGCAATTGGATGCCCTTTTTTGTCTGAGTCAGCAGATCACAAAGTACTTGGAGATGTTGCCTTCAAACTACTCCATCCTGGACAGCCAGGCCTCCGTCCTGCAGAGTGGACCCTGCTACATCTGTCCACAGGAAGCTGCAGGGCACCTGGCTGAGCTCTGATGGGAAACTGGTTCAAAGCCACGAGAAGCGGCCTCCCTGGCTCTCAGCCGTGTCTCCCCACCAAGCCAGGGTGCGTGCTGAAAAGCAGAATGAGAGCCCTGTGCACAGGCTCTTGAGGGAGGGGAGCCACCAGGCATACCCCTCCATTCCTTCACCTGTGGAGAGGAGACCTTGGGGTCTAATTGGCCGCCCCCAAGGACCACCCCGCAGGTGAGGGAGCAGAGCTCAGCACCAAGTCAGCTTTGGCATCTCTCGCTCGCTCACCTTGTAACAGAACGGCAGCACACTCACTGCTGAGAGCTCGTGAGTGAGCCACCCGTCCCTCCTTCAGACGCCACGCGGGCTCCTCAGCCCCCACCACCTGTGCAAGCTGCCCCCAGTGCACTGGTAACGAGTGATGGCTTCCCAGCTCCCTACAAAGACAAGCCAGCTCGAGCAGCCCTGGCACTGTCTCCAGCACTCACGCCCCCCACTGCACATACGCCAAGGGCACCTACCCACACTGGTGATCTTCTGCGAGCTGAGATCGTGCAGCAGAGCTTCGATCGCCGGGTTACGTCTGGAGTACAGCTCATATCGGTTAATGCCGATGTGGAATTTGAGCCAGTTGGGATAGGAGTCCGCAGCCGCCTCCCCAGTGCTCAAGAGCCCTTCACCTTCGGCACCTTCATGTGGCCTGTTGACAATGAGACGATCCAAAGTCAACAAAAAGGACAGAGCAGCAAGAGCTCAATGAACGCGGGGGCTGATCACTGACACCAACGTCTTGAATAAGTGCAGATTTATGGAAGGTGCCTCTGCTCAAGGCAGGCCCTGCGATGTCTGCACTTTCTCCTGTGACTATTGTTCTACCAACTAATAACACATCTGCAGGCCTGTAATTCTTACTTACCCGTGGGAGACGCCACGGACAGCTCTAACTACAGCAAGACTCATCCCAGAACGTCAGCACCTTCCTGCTACCCTGCCATGTCTGTCTTGGGGTCACCCAAACTGCCCAACTAGTATGATGTCACCTGGGGGTGTGAGGGGCTGCCAGCACTCCCCGGGAGCGGAAGAGAGAGCCTATCTTTGACCGCAGACACGCCCCGTCTGTCAGAAACCTTGCCTAAGCTCTCTGCTTTTGTTCCGACAGCCAGGGATGGGAGTGATGCAAGAGGCTAAATTTGATTTTAATGAGGGCAGTCTGGGTGGGGAGGGAGCGAAGAGGCAGCCGTTCTCTCCAGCCCAGCCTGCAACTGAGGGTTTGCAGCCCACGGGGCCTGCCCTCACATCTCTGGGGGCAAGGGACTGCTCTAGAGGAAGGACAGACCCTCCCCTGGCCTCCTGGCTTGGAAGGAAAGTGGATCTTGTCCCAGCTCTAATTCACCTGCAGCTGAGACCCTTTCGGCCCAAGTCTTGTCCTGCAGTGGACAGGAATGGTGGGCTAGAAGCCTCCAGGCTCCACTTTCCTGACCATGCTGGGCAGCCCGTCTCCTGCTGTGAGAGCCACAGGCCTGGGGCCACTGCTCCAATTCTCAAGTTTCTGAGCATTCCCTTGAACCTGGCCAGCAGACACTGCTCAGAAGCTACCAAAAAGCCCAGCATGCTCAGACAGAAAACACCAGGCCTGGCCAAATTTCAGGGGAGAAAGGATTTCCAATGAGATGTTTTGGAAGCCTGGCCTTCCCTTCCGTTGCTTGGGTAACCTCTTGCAGGTAGTTATTTATTCTGACCTTGCTGGCGGTTAATATTTCACTATTCTGGGTTGCAGCATCTGCCTGTTTTGATCTGTGCAGCTGCGGGAAGGGCCTTGGGGGAAAGAGTTTAACCAGGACAGTTTAAAAAGATGCTCCTAGGGTGGCTTCTCGACATTTGTTGGAGCCATGGCCTCTCTGCAGCGGGCACCCGGCCTGTACCCTTGCTGGAGGGCCTCTCTGTTGTACGTACTGCTGCTGGCACAGTCCCCTGCTAATGCTGTTCTCACTGAGGTTTTAAAAAACTTATTAGGCACATCAGACCTTCTCTGAGGTGTCCACCAAGACCGAGGTCGCCAAGTACCTGGAAGCCCGGCAGCCAGCACTTTCCCAGGGAAAGGCAACTCATTCACTCACTCCCCAGGTCCCCAACTCATTCATTCATTGCCTGACTCCACTTCCCAAGCCCGGCTGGCCAGCACTCTTTCTTCTAAGCCGGCCGAGTACTGCCCTGGCTCCCAGGGTCCTGTCTGGCTCCCACAGCAGAAGCCACAGGGACCAGCAGCCTTCCCAGGAAGTCGGACTGGAGACAAAGGCAGTGCCCTGAGCAAGAGGCATGCTCCCAACCCCACAACATTCCCCTGTCCCAGTCTCTGCGTGGGGGCTCCCACCCTGCGGGTCTCTGAACCAGTGTACACAATACCTTGGACTCTCACTCACCAGTCCGGGTTCTCTGCCACCTTAGGGCTAAACCTGGCTTCGCTGTTCACATTAAACAAGACGTCGTCCTCCGTTAGCGGCGGAACAGCCACCTGGTAAAGTGGGTGTTCAAACAGCCTGGCCAAGAGGGAACCGTCCCCGCCAGGGCCAGGAGGCGGTGCCGCCCGCCGGGGGCCCGGGTCTCCAAGCAGGGGCCGGTGCTCAGGGTCTCGGGGTCGCGGGGCGCCGGGATCCTGGCCCCGCACCGCGCGCTCAGCCGGCTCGGCTGCAGGCGGCAGTTTCTCCAGCGAGTGGGACGTGAGGTTGGAGGAGGGGTCGGAGCTGAAGTCCTGCAAGATGCGCAGCGTGTGCTTGTTGGGCCAGCCCCCGTCACCCGGGGCTGGAGCAGCGGCCGGGGGCTCCCCGGGGCGGCCCCGCGCCTTGGCCCAGCCTGGAGCTGCCACCTCGGCAGCGGGCTGTGCGCAGGAGCAGCCGGACTCCCCCGAAGGCCGCGTAGCGCGCCGCTCCAGTTTGGGCAGCAGGTCCAGCACGATGTGCAGCGCGCAGGCCACCAGGAACACCATCAGGATGAGCACGCGGAACCTGCGCACCAGGATCATCTTCATGGCCGCGCAGGTGAGCGGGCCTGGGACCCCAGCAGCTTCCTGGAGCGCTCTCCACCCGCGCCCCTCTAGCTTTGGCTGGTCACGAAGGCAGCGTTGCCTCGCGGGTCAAGGTCCATCCGGCGCCCAGGCAGCTACCAGCTCCTAGGCTGTTCCTGGGCCCAGACAACGTGCAGGGCTCCTGCCGCCGAAGCGCCGGCTCTCCGAGCCATGTCGGGACCGTTCCCTCTTAGTCTCTCCCAGGCGGCCGCGCCCTCAGCTGCCGGGACCACTGGCCTGCGTCCTCCTCGGAGCTGGGAGCGCAGGGAGCAGCTGGCCAGGAGGCAGGGGGAGCAGCCGGGTAAGGCCCCGCGCACCCAAAGGCCAGCGCGGGTCTCTGGGGCTGCGGCCGCGCTCATCAGGAGCGCAGGGGCCCCACGCGGCAGCCCATCCCTGCTGGGGACGGTGGTGGCGGCTGGGCGAAGCGACTCGATCCACAGCGCGGTCCTTTCCGCGAGCTTCGTGGCCCGCGCTAGGCGCCGGGCGAGCGGAGGAGATGGGGCGTCTCTTTCGGGCAGGGCTCTGCTCCTTCACGCTGCGGCCGGGAGATGGGGACGGGGAGGGCTCAGGGCCGCGGGGACAGAGGAAGGGGAGGGGGCGGGGAGCGGGAGGGGGCGCACCGAGCAGCCGGTGAGGTCTCCGGCAGGTGCAGCGGCGGTATCGGAGCGCAGCTCCCGCACGGCCGAGCCTTGGCGCCCCGCGCCCCGGGCGGGCAGATATCCGAGCACCGCGGAGCCGCCCCCCGCGTCAGCGCCCGCAGATTGGCGGAGCCGCAGCCCCGCGAGTCACGGCTGGGCCCGGGCCGGCTCTGCTCCCTCTCTCCTTTCTCCTCCCATCGGCCGCGCCCCACGATGCCTCTGCAGCTCCCGGCCCGCTAAGGAGAGGGCGCCTCCTCCGCGGTTGGCAGAGCCCGGAGACCCGCGGGAGGCGGGAGGCGGGAGGGCGCGGCGGGCGGGCCCTCTCGGGCGGCTCTCGGCCTGGCCACTGCGCTAGGACCTCCGCGCGCCCGGCGCCGCCAGCTGCAGCCTCTCGGCTCCTCCCCAGATGAGCCGAGGCCCAGAGCCCCGGCCAAGTCCCTCCCCGGAGCCGCTGGGCGTCTGCGCCGCCGGATGAGCCCCCGCTGGGAGGCGACCTTGTGCCCCGCGGCCGGTCTCTCGGCCCCACAGCGGGCAAGGAAGAGGAGGAGGAGGCAAAGGCGACACGACTGCGGGCACCGGAGAGGCCAGAGGAGCGCGACTTGGGACCCAAATCCAGAGGGCACAAGCAGGCGGTGAGGGCCCTGCACCCGGCTGGGCCCCACCCCACCCCAGGGGGACCACGCCTGCGCCTTAACCCTGGCGGCTCCGGCAGTGCAGCTGGGATTGCTTGGAGAGGTACCCTGTGTGTGCTGGGAGCAGCACCTCCCTCCTCTGGGCGGAGCAGTGTGTGTGTGTGTGTGTGTGTGTGTGTGTGTGTGTGTGTGTGTGTCTCAACTCCCTCCCCAATGCCCAAATCGGTCCCCCACACGTATGGGAGTGGCACTTCTACACGTGTCTTCTGCAACTGGCACTTCTGGGTCTCCAGCCTCCAGCAGGGAATATTAATTAACGTGAATGCCAGCCTAAAATCCTAGGTAGGAAGGCGCATGTGGGAGGAGAGGCCGCCCGCCCCCTGCCCAGCAGACAGGCGCTCTCCCAGTGTGCCTGCAGATTTCCAAAGCAGGGAGGTGAAGAGACCCTCCCCACCCAGCAGCCCATCAGCCCCATCTAGCAGCGCTGAGAGTGGGGGACCCTGGGGGAGGGCACAGGCAGGGCTGGAGCCCCCTTCTCTTTCATTCACTCACTTGCTGTTCAACCTCGGCCCTCACTGCCCTCTCTAGGCCCCAGATTCCTCTTATGTGAATTTAGGACACTAAGTACATCATTCCTGTGGACTCCGCAGTGAATTTCGGTACCTGGCCCAGTAACTGACGTTCAGTAGGCGCCCACTAGATGAGTGGCGCCCACTTGTTGAGTGAAGGAGAGGGGTCCCAGGCAGCTGGTCCGTGAAACAGACGACTCAGGCCATTGGAAATCAGTGAACTCCTGCAGCTGGAGCTGGAGGCTGTGTGGGGGGAGGGTGAAGGTCGGTTTGACCTGGCAGTGGCCACTCAGGGGACACAGTGTCACCCCTGTGAGCGGAGCTCATCCCTTCCTTTCTTCCATTCACTCACATGGACAACACATGTGGGTGTAGACAGGGCTACCCAGAGAGCCCAAGGGGATGATGGAGGGTGGGAAGGAAGCCCCCCACCCGCCCCACCCTCTACCAAGATCGGCTGCAGATGCCTTGTGACAACAGGGAGCGTGGGTCCGAGGCTGTGTTCACCCCAAGCCAGCAAGTGTCTCCCCTGGCCTTGGGGTTCTGTAGGCTCCCAGCCCTCCCACTCCCCCTGTCCACAGCCCCGGATAGCGGAGCCGTGGCTCCGGACAGGCGTGGGGGTGGCCTGACCTGACAAACCGTCTCCATCAGGTGCGGGGGGCTCCCTGCACACTTATTTTCACTGCCCCAGCCGGGCCCTGCCTGCCCGGAGAGTGGATTCCGTGGGAGCCAAGGTGACATCTGGACTCTTCCACTCACCACTGGAGGGCTCCCTCCTGCGGCTCTCGGTTCAGCCCAGCTGTCGCCTCCTTAGAAAAGCGTGGCTGACTCACCAGGTCATTCTGAGGTGCCGCCTTCCTCCCTGCCACACTGTCTGAAGACACTTTCTTCTGTTCCCGTTTATTGTTTGTCTTGCCCAACGCATGCCCTGCATCGAGACAGGAGCCTCCAGCGATGGCTGGCGCTGGGCACACAAAGCAGGCGCCCAAAGGAGGGACCACACATCACCACGCACCCTGGGACCAGGGGTGACAGGCCGAGGGAAGACATGTGACAACAGTCTGAAGACAGAGCACACCCCACAGGGGGACTGAGCGGCACCCTTGGCTGGATCTTTCTGCCTGGCTCCTTTGTGCAGTGCTCTGAGGAGCAATTTGATTTGGTTCAATCAGTAATTTGATTAGGGAATCACAGAAAGCAGACACGGCTACACACACAGACACACACAGTGCTACACACAGACACACACAGATGGTTACACACACAGACACACGAAGCCACACACAAACAATAGACACAGAGACACACGCACAGGGCCTGGACCTCCCTGAGGTCTCTGCCTTGTGGCTCCGTGGACAGAGGCCTTCCTGGCCCGGCTGGGCTATCGGGGAAGGTGGCTGGAGGTGAACACATGGCCCCCATCAGGGACCACATGGGTTCTGGGGGCTTTTTTCTTCCAAAGGATCCAATAAGCCAATGTAAAATATGCCGGATGGAGACAGGAATTATGTAGAAACATAAAATTGGGTGTGGCAGGAAAGGTAATAAATTCTGGGTGTGAGGAGATGGCTATTTTATACCGGTTGGTTTCTGAGCGAGTGACTTTTTTGAGACAGGGTCTTGCTCTGTTGCCCGGGCTAGAGTGCGGTGTGTCGTTATAGCTGACTGCAGGCTCACAGCCTGGGCTCAGAGAGTGGCTGTGAACAGAAACTTGTTCCTGAGGGACTAAGTGGCTTGGAGGTCTGCAAGCAGAGTCCTTAGCAGAGAAGCTGAAAATGCAAAGACCCAGGCTGGGGCTGCTCCAGGACACACTTCGGGGGTGTAGAGCCAGGGCTGTGGTGGCCAGGCCATGGGCTGGGCCGTTCAAGGGCTGGGGACCGAGAGGGAGATGGTCCCAGATGGGGGAGGCTCGATGGGCAGACGCAAGGAGACCAGATGGGAGCTGGGCCACAGCCACGGCGGGATGAGAGACCAGCTATGCAGCGAGGGAGGGGGAGGCGATCCAGCCAGAGCCCTGGGGAGGAGCCACCCTTATCCGGCTGTTATCTGACGCAGCTTTTGGTGCTGGGGATTAGGAACTTGACCCTGGACTATGCGTCCTCAGAGCATGCAAAGCCGGGGGGTAGGTGGGCTCCCTAGGAATGAGGGGCGCAGAGGGCTGAAAACTGAGTTCTGTCCGTCCTGAGTGGTCAGGAGGCTCAGGAAGCTGTGACTGTGGCCCTGAGATGGTGAGAAGCCGGGAGGGGAGGGAGGATGCTGACCATGGGCCGGCGAGGCCATGCGAGGTCATTGGTGGTCGTGATGGGTGGTCTTGCCATAGCGTAGGCCGGTGTCACAGGGGTCCCGAGGGAAGCAGAGGCCTTTGCAATAGTCATATTCTCTTTTCCATTGGTAGATCTGAGCAGGGACAGACCCTGGGACAAAAGACAGATTAACAAGATAAAAACAAGCTTAATAACCTGTGTGCCTCCTGTATGCATGGCAGATTCTCAGGGAAAAGTGAGGACATCTCAAAGACATGGCTCTGAGTTCAGCCTTAAATGCCACATTCAACTGAAACAAAGAGAAAGAGGTATGGGGACGGCCCAGGAAATCGCCACAAATAAGTGGTGCCTGCTCCGTGGGTGAGAGCCCTGGTGATTCAGGGACAGAGTGGGAGACACCGTGAGTGGAGATTTCCTTTATAGATGTGAATTTCTCTCACAAAGGGTCACGTCCATCCTGTTTTCAGAGCTTCTGCGGCTGCAGCTTCTCAAAATAGGCAGCTCAAAATAACCCTAATGCCAAAGAGGCATATTTTGGGGAGGCATATTCTAGTCTCCTACAGTCACATTCTGGGGAGGCATATTCTAGTTTCCTACAGTCACATTTTGGGGAGGCATATGCTGGTCTCCTCCGTGTGAAAGGTGCAGAGAAATGGGGGTGAGGGCAGGACTGACACCAGCTCCTGGACCCGAGTCTTGCTGGGGTTCTGAGGATGTTGGAGGGGGAGCAACTGCCTCCATCGAATCATCTCCCCACCAGCTCATGCCAAGGAAACCTGCCCAGGACACCAGGGCTTGGCGAGGTGCTGCAGCCGCCCTGCAGCGGCCAGAAGGAGGGGATGAGGCGTCCAGGGTGTGCAGGCACTGAGTCAGAAGGTCACATTCAGAGGCCCCAGTGGACCAGGGCAGGAGGAGGAACTCGCACAGGAGGCAGGGGTGGGGTCCATCGCCATGGGTCCCTGGGAATCATGGCCAGGACAGCTGCCCCCTTGCTACCATGGAGGGCAGCCGACAAAGCACACGACTCCTCCGATGAACCCAAAGCCCCCAGCCAGCCCGTGGGAGCCCCTGGTGACCTTGCCAAGAGAGAGCTGCTGGTGGTCAGCGGGAGGTGGACAACAGGGAGGTGAGCCCTGTGTGAGGAAGGGGAGGAGAAGCACGTCTGCAGACAGTTGCATGGGGGATGGTGGAGCAGAACTGAAGGGGCACAGTGGTCATGTTTGGGCGCCGGTGCTGCGGGCGAGGGTGGGAAAGGGACTTGGGGCTGTGCAAAAGGCTGGGAGGAGGAGGAGCTGGAGCAAAAGCACCCTGGAGCTGCAGGCCGGAGGGTGAGGCTTCACCACCCCAGCCCACCCCTGTGTCCCCAGGTCTTGAGGAGGACGCACCAGCTTCGGGGGACAGGCTTTCCTGCCCAATGGCCCAGGGCTCCTGGGGGTGGGAGGAGAGAAAGGGAAGGGGCCCAGCCCGAGGGCCTGGGAGTGTGGAGCAGCAAGGCCCACGCAGCTCAGGCCTGGCACCTGCACTCTCCGGATCCACGCTGTTTTCCCAAGGATTACTCATCCGGGACCCACCCGGAGGCTCCGGCCTGTTTACCACAGGCCAGCCCTGGCCACAGGCTATTCTGGGAGCTCAGGGGCAGCTGGCTGAGGTCCGGAGGAGGCTGGTGCTTTGGGTGGCAGGAGGAGGGCCAGGCCATCATGTCTTTACTGCGCATCCACCCTGCACCAGGTGCTGAACCAGGCGCTTTATGGGGCGTGTGATTTAATTCTTGTCTGGAGCCAGTGAATGTGACAATATTAGGGCCTCCCTTGTGGCCACCGTGGGGCTGGACCTGGTTGTCAGGGCTCACACTGGGAGTCAGGGGGTCACTTGCAAGAGGAAATGCTGTCACAGGAGAGGGAGCCGGCCGGGATCTGTGTCCTCTGAGCTGCATCTGAGAAACACAGGGGACGGCCGGGGTCTGTTCTGTGAATGAGCGTGGCCTCATCCCTCCTGCCACCATCACCGGCCAGCCAGCCCCTTCACCTGCCACAGCTCTTCCTGCCTGGACTTCTGGTCTGTTCCCTCCCCAAACACAGCCCGAGGGGGCTTTGAAACTAGAATTTCTTTTTACTAATTAAAAGCAACAACAGATTACCAAGCCAAAAACCTGCAAATAAAACAATTAAAAAGCTTGACTTTATTTTGTATCCCTCAAATACACAATTTATATAATTTCTATTATACATGGAATAATCACAAAAACTGACCATTATTTTGATCATAAGAAAAATGTCAAGAAATTCTAGCAGGTAGATATTGACAGTCCATTTACTGGATCTACAGACATAGGTAGGTGTGTACAGGTGTATGTGTACACACAATCCACAGTTCGTTTACTGGGTCTGCAGATGTAGGCAGGTGTGTACAGGTGTATGTGCACACACACAATCCATGGTCTGCTCATGGAACACATTGCAGGGTAATAAGGCAGCAGCTAAGCTTTAAAAATATTTCTATCTGGAAATTAATGTCACAAATATAAACTCACATGTAATTTTGGGTTATGAAGGAAAC